ATATTATGCTGTTTGAATATACATTGAATTTATGAATATTTATGAAATTAATAGTGTTGTTGATTGTATATTCTGTTTGGATAAATTTTTATTGTCTTATTTTTTTAAAACAGGCTAAACCAAGTTTTTATTTTTTGTAAATAAGTTAGGCCACAGTCTGATAATTATATTTATAACAGGTAACAGGCTTGGTCGAGCTGACACATTTAAATACATGCTTAACCTTTTAAGACCAAAGTTAAGCTCGGCTCGGCCTTGTTAACACCCATAGACGCAGCAACAGCACCCGTGAAATGGTCTTTTAGAGGGCTAGAAGTAGGTATATAAATGGTCAGTGGCTTGTCAGGAGCCTATAGCTAAGTTTGCCTTTGGCCTGTCTCGGCTTGCCCTGTTTTAAAAATAGTGTACGTTTGAGTTCATTAAAAAGCTTCTTTAGAAATCATGTTACAAACTTATTTTAGCCTCTAAGCCTTCAGGTTGACTCATATTTTTTAATAAATGACGTTTTCTTTTTTAATAAAATAATATTTTATTATTTTTAATAAAATAATATTTTGTTATTTTTTAATAAAATAATGTCTTTTATTCTTCAATAAAATAATATCTTTTATTCATGTAGAACAATCATATAACTCAGGGGATTTCCCCTCCTTATTTACAAAAAAGAAAAAAAGAAAAAGAAAGAAGAACAATCGTATAAGTTTACTAATAGAGATAAGGTTACAAGTAAGAGAAGGGACATGAAGGACAGAATTCAGAGTAATATGTTCAGAGAGCTTAATGGATCCCTTTCCCGCAATATTAGAGAAACTACCATCAGCCGTCCTTATTCGTGACTGGTGATAATAAGGGGTATAAGAACAAAACAGGGATGCATTACCTGTCATATGATCAGAAGCTCCCGAATCAAGAATCCAACGACTACTATGATCAACATGGAATGCCATACCTTGTTGAGCAACATGACTAGTTGCCTCAGCAGATTGAGACATCACCTTCTGAAATTGCTCATAATTCTTACCGTTTAAACGGTGGTTAGTAATCTGTATAGCTGGGTTGTCTCCGGAAGAAGAAGAACAGGGAAGAGGAAAGACACCGGAAACATTACCGGATGATTTTTCAGAATGCTTATTCTCAGCCTCAATATTTTCAACTTCCATTGTTCAAAATAAAAAAAATAAAAAAAGGAACTCCAATCGTTCAGAACTGAAAAATCACGAAGAGGAACCAACTGGACCCAACAAGAAGAGTGCTCCAATCGTGATTTAAACCCCCAGAACAGGAAGAGGAAGGCCAGGCGAGCCGTTCTGTGAAAGCCGCGTGACAAACGGAGGCCGGCAAGGCGGCGCGTGGCTCACACGCGCCGGAGAGGCAGTTCTGCAGTGGCGGCACGTGGCTGACTTTCCGGCGACGGGGCTGACGTGGGTCGACTCGGAAATGGCTTCTGAGTCCAATGGTGGCCTTGGTTTCGTGATTGGAGGGGTCCAGATATGGTTTCTGAGTTATTTTAATAAACAGTGAAAAATGGAAAACGGAAGGAAACGTGAAGGTTTACAAGATGACCACAGGATAACCTGCTCTTGATACCATGATGAAATATAAGACTGAAATGTATTTTTCATATATTGATTGACACCCAAAGGGATCTTTATATACAGATTACAAGGTAGTTAAGGAGTTGAAGTAATAAATAAAATACACAGTAACCGAAGAGGCATCACACTACTCAAAGGAACAAGTAGCTAGAAACAAGTAGAAAACTCTAGAATATTCTACAGAAAGCCACCTTAAGTGGATTGCCAGAGTGCTTTCTGGCCTAATAGACCTGTCTTTTAGGATGGGTTTTCCTTTTGAGCTTGAGTTATAACACATAAATCAAGACTGGGGTAGAGTTCCTTCAGGGAAACAAAATTGGTGATGTGGACCGTTCTTCACCTATGCACCCCCCCCCCCCCCCCCCCCCCCCCTTTTTTTTTCTTTTTCCCTCCAACCCCTCTTTCTAAAAATAGGGATATGGAGCATAATTCTTGGAAAATACATAAAATCATGTGTGTTTCCCCCTTCCCTTACAAGAATTCGGACGATGGCTGAGATTACAAGATATATAGCCACTATATGGTGTGTTAGTGAATTTAACAATTTTGATCTGACTGAAACTTATATCATCTAACTTGAGTCCACTCTTCCTATTTTGAAACTATATAATTCAGCTTCTAATTTGATATATTGAAAGTTTACTGCCTGGCTGTTCTGTTTTAGATATGTCATTTGGATCTGACAGGGTCAATGGGAACTTTCAACTATTTTTCAAGTCTTGTTTATTATATTAGAGTAGTTAATTGTATATAATGCCTTTGTTCTTTTTCCTTTTTTGAGTAAATCACTGTTGTCTCCCCTCTATCATTCAAGTACCTCTCCTCTATTTTTGAAGCCTATACAAACCTCCCATGAACCTGTGAAATGTTAAAAATGCCCTCTGAAGACCCTAACTATCTCCCCTCACATTTTCTTGATTTTTCATGAACTTCCTCTGTTCAAGGGAGGTTGTATAGATTTTGAAAATAAAGGGGCGATGTGCAGATAAACCAGAAAACGTATAAGGAGGTTGAAGTAATTTAATTGTTTTATACTGTCTTAAATTAAAGAATTGAGCTTGCAGGTAGTATTCAAAACTCGCATTTACCACTGCAATATAGACCCTGATGGCCATGTTAGTATGGGAATATTGAAGGATGGTTGGAGTCCAGCACTAACAATTACTAAGGTGCTACTTGCCGTTAGATCAATTTTAACAAATTCTGACCCTTGTAAGTTCTTCCGATCTCCTCTTAATAAATATGTCTGTATGACTGCTTAGATCACTGTATTCGTTTGTCTTCTATCTTCATTACTATATTTTTTGTTTATAAAATGTGTTGGTTGATGAGGATTTACATGGGATTTCTATTCTTCAACCTTACATTATGCTTTCCAATGCAAGTGAAGAGGCAAAACTTGTTTTGTTATGTGCCATGTCTTGGAGAAGAAGCTTTTTTTAATAGGACACCAAATATGATAATGTGTTCTGACATCAGTGAACTTAATTCCCTGTTACAAACATGCAATATTAGTAATACCAACACGTATAATCAATCAATACACCAAGTAGCCATTTGTGATCTTGAAACGTTAAGTTGTCATCATTGTTGCAGATAATGCTGTTGTCCCTGGCATTGCTCACTTGTATTTGGGAGACAGAGCAAAACATGATGATATTGCTGCAGAGTGGACTGTCCGATTCGCCAAGTGAATATGATACAGGAGCCCTTTGATTGGCTTACATCTTATATATCATGTTCCAATATTTCTGTAAATGAGAATGATAGTTCATAGTTCATGCACTCGTAACAAGCTTATCACCTCCTCACAAGCTTTGATAATAAATAAACTAGGTGGTGTTATCCCCTAACTACAAGATGATATGCCGCATGAACTGAAGCCATATTCTACAATTTGTACCATCATAATCTAATTCAACCGATTTTCTACTATATGACAAGCTGAACCATGTTTGCTAGGTTTTATAATGACTAGAAGCTCTCATTAGTTCCTGCAAATATACGGCAGGAAGTAGGGAGCCAATTCTTCAGGTTATGCCATTTTTACATATTTCCTCACATTTTTAAATCAACCCTTGCATTATTGAAGATAGATTATACACAATCTTATTGTTATATTTTTCTAAAGAGATTATCTTTCAGCAACTCAAGTCTTCTAACAATCACCTATCTAAATTGTAACTCATTTTTTCAGCTAAGTAACACTACTTTAGTTCTCAACTATTCCTTAAAAATTTGTAAAAGCTTAGACAATTAATAAAATGTCTCCATATCATCTCAATTTTGTAATAAAGTGTTGGTTATTATTTTTTCTTACTTCTCACTAATACATACCCTGTTAGTTATTTTTTTTTTCGGAGCAGTATATTCTTACACCAGTGTAGGAATTATAAGTCTTACACTCAATCTTAATAATTGATTCACTTGTATCTAATGACTCATATTACTAAAAAATTAGAACCCTTAGATATAAGTGAGATCAATAGTCAAGATAGAGAGTGTGACTTACATTGGTATAAAATGATCTTGACCCCTTTTTTGTCATATTAATTTTATTAATTCAGTGACTTGATTATTTCCAAACCTAAAATATTTTAATGCAATGATACAAATGAAATATAAATGTGCAATTAACATGATCAAATAAAAAGACTCGATTACTTTTCAAATGTTTATACTGTTTTCGATATAATAATAACAATTCTTATATAAGTATGGTTATATTTTTTTTTTTTGTTAAACATTCTTTAAGATTAATAACATCTCAAGAAATATTAATATGATCAACAAAATCTTACCCCACGTTCGATCATGAAGTAAGCTATCAGTAAATTATGCACCTAATCTTGCTTATTCACAAAACACAAATTATTAAGCCGCCGCAGGCGCAGCCCCCCAATATCAGATGTGAATTTTTAACTAAGATACTTTTCTCTCCTTCTGAAACTACTTGGTGATGCTTAGAACGAAGCTTCCTCTTCTGACACAAATTATTTTTTCTTGCCATGTTAAATAAGTTTCTTCTTTAGGAAAAAAGATGTACCGGGTACATTTAATACTCCAAATATTTATGGGCAATGATTCTCTCCTTTTACAGGAGAGAAGGAATACTTCTTACACTCACATTGAATTTTGTGTCAAATATTTTTTTATTTTTTATTTTTTAAAAGGAATGGTGGCCCCACATCTTTGTTTGAGTAGGAGATAACTTATTTTTTCGTACAAAATGAGTAAAGTTTTTCTCAATATTTATTTCCTCTTCTGTTATTTTAACTGCTATACACTCAGTGTTAGGTGACATAAAACATCACGTGGTCCAACTTGGCATCCTCAATCGCAACTTTAAGTCAACTACTATTACTACTACCCCTGTACAACCAAAAACATTGATTGAACAACCATTGGAACCTTGCAAGTTTCAAGTTGGAAGGAACAAACTAACAGAGAGAGAGAGATGGGAAAGAGCATAATAAGAGAGTTGGGAGTGGAGGACTTTGTGAATGCAGGCTTAACAGTTAGAGAAGCCAATGAATTGTATAATGTTCTGAGGGATGTTCTCTCCCTCTGTCCTTCTTCCTCCGACAACCCAACAGATATATGGCGCCACTTGGTGACTCGGAGAGTGCTGAAGCCATCCTATCCACATCCCTTGCATCAACTTGTCTATTACTCCCTTCATGATCACTCTTCCCAACCTCATGCTCATGCTGATGCTGATGCTGCCCCTCCTCTCTATTGGTTCCCTTCTCTGTAAGTGTTTGTGTGTATCTATCTTATGATTACTAACTACTACTCACTCTTCTCTATTCAATTCATGTCTGTTTTTGTTCAGTCTTCACTGCCACTTTTTTATTTTTTTTATTTTAGAGAGCAGTCCAAACGCACGAACCTGGGTCGTCTCATGGAAACCTATGGTCCTAAGCTTTTAGGAGCATCCTACAAGGACCCTATTACTAGTTATCCTCTCTTTCACAAGTTTTCTGTTCAGCACCCTCAGGCAACTACTCACTCTTCTCTTCCTTCTTTTATTTTTCATTTTATCCCCTTTTCCATTCCGTAATTTCAACATGTGTTGTTTTTTTTTATCGTGAGTGCAGGTGTACTGGTCCCTTGTTCTCAAGGAACTTTCTGTTTCATTTGTTGAAGCTCCAAGGTGCATTCTAGATACTTCTGACCCTTCCAAACATGGGGGAACTTGGCTTCCCGGTTCTGTCTTGAATATTGCTGAATGCTGTTTGCAACCCACTTCGCACCCCAGCAAACAAGATGACAGTTTAGCCATCGTTTGGAGAGATGAAGGTTTTGATGATTCCCAGGTTAATCATATCACGCTCAAACAACTTCGACACCAAGTCATGTAAAGCTTTTCGACTGATCCTTTTGGTTTTCGAGCAAGATTATGTTACTTAGAATGCAGAGTTCGATCTCTTTGAGTCTTGACTTTTTCTTTTAACTTTTAACTTGAGCTAATTCAATTAATTCAATCATTTGAAGAGCTGTTTTTAAATTCCATCATTGCATTGGATTTTGTACTTTTGAATCAGGATAATTCGTGTCTCATTTTGTTGTTTTGTTTCCACTCTTTACCTACTTGTATCTCACTTTCTTTTTTTGTCTTTGATCCTTTCTCCTTTTAGGATTTACCCTTGAAGTACTTTTCAATATCTAATCTCTTCATACACTTCCTGTATGAAATTGTTTCTTTACTTCACGTTTTTTCCATGTTATTTCCAGGTTGGTGGCAAATGCAATAGACGCCACATTCTCGAAGGGAGATGCAATCGCAATTGACATGCAAATGACAGCCAATGCCGTTGTTATATATTTAGCCATTGTTCTGGCAGGATGCATTGTGGTATCAATAGCTGATAGCTTTGCACCAAAAGAAATTGCAACTCGCCTGCGTGTTGCTAAAGCAAAGGGTATTTTCACACAGGTGAACTTTTAATTTGGTTCATGTGTATGACTTTAATTGTAAATCTACCGTTGATCAAAGTGAAACTGTTCAATATTTGGAATTGTCTTTGTTCTTTCTCAGTTACCAATTTATATTTACAATATTATTCAGTATTTGTGAAGCAATACTAAAATTTCCAAATCGTTGTTGTGCCTCAGAGTGTTTCTTTTTCATTCAACTCTAATTTTCTGACTTCTGTTTCCTGTTTGATAAGATTAACAGACACAGTCTATATGTTTGGATCTCTGATTGTTAGATAACTTCTTAGAATACTTAGTTTTATTGAACGTATAGGTCGGATACCTGTTTGATGAGTGCACTAAATATCTCATCCAACTTTTGATTGTCAATTTCAGCAAACAGCTGGGTCTTTTTTAGGCTGATGAGGCTTTTCTGAATGGTGCATCCCAATTAAGACTTCAAAAGCTTGGGCAAGGGTTATGGTTTGAAGAAGGAAAAATGAGGTAGAAAAGTAGGGGGATTGATTGCTTACTGCATGTATGTTATAGAAAGGATGGCTTGCAAGCAATAATGCAGAATTTAACAATCATATTGGTAGTTGTATTAGTGCTCAAAACAGTGTTTGTGAAATTAGATTTCATGGTACCAAGAGTTGTAGGTAGATTCAAGCAACAAATAATTAGGAATTAAATGAATGAAATCTTAATGGACACAAAAGGTAGTGCATTGATGATCCACATGAACAAGAGGGGTAAGGGGGAAAACGTAATATGCATAGGAAATTTTCTGGTAACTGCCTAGAAAATTGGCAACAGTGGAGAGGAAAAGTGAGGAAGGTGTGATGTCTGTTAGAATGTCAAAAGCAGAGAGAGTGGGACTTGGGAGAAAGTTAGCCCCTCGAAGAGCTAGTTGCTGTAATATTGCATTTCTGTTTCTTTCTTATTTCAGTTCCTCTAATCTCTGGGTTAATTCCCAATTTTCTTCAATAGCTGAGTGAGCTTCTATCAATTTCCATTTTTTTAACAAATTAAGATTATTGTATTTCACTCAGCTTTAATTTGTTTTCAGGATTTCATATCAAGAGGTGGCAGGAAATTCCCTTTGTACAGGTAAAAAATTGTCAACATTGTACTTGTAGTTGTTGCTATGTTTTTCAGCACTTCAACTTCTGAATATTGAAATCATATTTTACATGGGCCTGAGGCACTTTTGTGATGCCCGTGTCTAATTTATCTGTTTAGATTATAGTATGCATGTTAAGCGCAAGTCAAGCTTATGTCATATTATCCTTAACTTTTGCTATAATTATCAATTCAACATTTGTTATAGTAAGGTTATTTAGTATTCATCTATTCATGTATCCTTTGATTAATGTTTGAATACTATGTTTTTCTTCTTGTTGTTTCTGAGTTCAAAATCAATGCCATGGTCCACACGATGGCGGGGGATGTCTTTGTGTTTGACCACGAATATACATGGTTGGGCCATTTTGGGACAACAGATAATCTATTATGAATCAGAAAGTGATGTTAAATCATCAAAGCCATGCTGTATTTCGGAACCTGTTTTTTTAGAACCCTGTTTTCTTCTTTCATTTCTGCTTCACTTATTTTTAGGCATTTGTCATAGGCATAAATAGCATCGCAAAACAATGATTTCTCCAATAAATTATATTTCTCAATTAAAAAATAAAAAACACATTAATCCCAGCCACAAAAAGTCTTCTGCATATTAATTATTCAGAATCAGATGCACTCAGAATTCTATCACATGAATAATTTGGTTTTCTCCATATAGATGTGTATTATTCCATCTAACTACTTCCTATCACACTTTTACCCTCCCATTTGAGTAGTATAATTCTGGGTCTCCTCAATCCTGTTTGAATTTTATTCTTCTACTTGAAATGATACGGGAACTTATAAACATGAATTAGTTCAATATCTTGTATAGCTGCTTTCTGATATGTTGATTGTTCTAGATGCTAGTTATAATCTCTAAATCGGAGTTTATATCTAAACAGACCTGTTCATTGGCAACAAAATTAATTAGTTGAGTTGAGTGAAATGATCCAAAGGTAGAAGCCAGCTCTCCTTTTACTTAGTTTCCTTTAATTTATATAGTAAATTTTTTACTTGAATTATGAAAATCGATATTTCAAGGCATTCTAATGTGTATAGACTCCTCTCAATAGATATTGTTCAGAAAGGTTTAGATATGAATATATTACTGCCGCTCTTTGGCCAGAATTTGTATTTTAGATGATTATTTCCGAACTATTAATTACTTGAATGGCCCTTTAGACTGCTTTGCCATCCAAAATTGAAAAGATGAAATATGCCAAGCTTGCTAATACTCATGTTTGAATGCTTGTTAGATAGATTTATTGCTGTTCTTTAAGCACATAGATCACTGGAAACAGCTGAGTTATTGTGCATATTTCTCCTTGCAGTCGAGTCATTGAAGCAGCTGCATGCAAAGTTATTGTGCTCCCGGTGATAGGTGATGATGTAGGAGTACAATTAAGAGAACAAGACTTATCATGGAAGGGTTTTCTTTCTTCTAACAGACAGCATTCCAGGTAATGCACATTACAATGCGTCTATTAAACCATATTTTGATCTAAACAAATGATAATTTTTCCAAACTAAAACAGTCGCTGCTAAAGATCCCAAAAAAGAGAAAAAAGAGAGAACTTGCATCGTTTCACCTTAACATTTAACTCATGGCAGGTCTCATCATTACTCTCCAATCTATCAATCAATTGATTCTGTCACCAACATACTTTTCTCATCTGGAACCACAGGTAAAGATTCTCCCTTAAACACATCAATTATAGACTACCATTATAATTATTTTCTGGTTATATTTTTGCTTTTTCAGGAGATCCAAAAGCAATTCCTTGGACTCAACTTTCACCAATACGAAGTGCTGCTGATGGATGGGCCTTTATTGATATTCAACCTGGAGATGTCAGCTGCTGGCCTACAAATTTAGGATGGGTGATGGGACCTACTCTAATATATTCATGCTTTCTAACTGGTGCAACTCTTGCTCTGTACCATGGATCTCCTCTAGGCCATGGTTTTGGAAAATTTGTTCAGGTGATTCGTTCAAATCTAATATTTTATTCCCTATATTATTTATGCTTATTATCACAACACGTCTTATCTTATAAAATGGTCATTATTATTTTAAGGGTTTTTTTTTTCTGATGTTACTTTAGATAACTTTATCTAATGTTCATCAAAACGACGTTGTTTTGGGACGGAAATCATGGTATTTTTGTAATTTTAATTTATTTCAGGGTTATAATAGTCTTTATCACTCTAATTTTTTAATTTTTCAACCTCAACGACGTCGTTTCGATGAACATTAGATAAAATTATCTAAAGTAACATCGGAAACTTTTTTCCCTTATTTTAATCACTTAAGAAGTTCAGATAGCAAACCAATTTCTTCAAAATCATGGATGAAATGAACTGATTAGATGCAACAGGTCCTATATCCTTTGTATTACAGTGGGATGTGGAGGGAAATGATTTTGTGATCTTCAGTGACATAACCCGGGAACTTTCCTATGTTTTGTGAAAACAAATTGCAACTGTGTGCCACTCAAACTGGTCTAGGATGCTAGACGGCTTACTTTTTGTTTCCCAACTTTTAATGCAGAACTCAAACTGTCCTTGAAACTACATGTAATATTTTTTCATTACCTTGAAACATTTTACCATGTTTGAATTTGTTCATTCACCAAGAGTGTCTAGAATTTAAAATGGCATATCCTTATACCTTTGTGGTAAGAACACGAGGTGTCCCTGTGCATTCATTTTTGCCTTGGTCACTAATGTCTGGCCACTTCAAGGGTCAATGATTGTCCCCGCAAAGTAACACGAGACTTTTCAGCGTGCTTTGTCCTCACTCACACACTTCTTGGAAAAACTTCCCAAGAGATTATCCATCCCAGAATTGCTCCAAGTCAAGCACGCTTAACTATGGAGTTTTTCCGTTCTGAGCTACCGAAAAGTAGATGCATCTTGTTAGTATAGGTAGTACCAATTAATTCTTATAAGCTATCCCTAACTGTAGAGTCCTAAACCTGTACAATCCTTGGAATCACTCTCTTTCGGGTGTTGATTCGATTCATTTATATACCCCTCCCGCAGATAGTACGTTAGTTCTTCCACTAACCATACAATAGTCAGCATCCGAGATGTTACAGTCACAAGGTGCTTCTAGCAGAATTTAAATCCTTGCACTGTAGGTAAAGTCCGCCTGCATGGAGCTCAATTTGCTAACTGAGCTACACTCATGGTTTAATATGCTTATACCTAAATGTATGCTGGGTTATTATGAAGTAGTGTGTTATCTAGACACAGAAATGTTCTGGCAAACACATGCGCATGCGCAAACACATTAGCATTGTATGGTGTTAGGATGGGAAAGGTCCAATAGTTGTACCATATGGTGTGGTATATACACCAAGGAAACTGAGGCCTAATTTGAATATTGACCAAGGGTTCAATACCAAAAGTACTTTCTATGGTCAAGTGTTGTTTGTTGAAAGCATTGTTAGGCATTATCTTGGAAAGTTAGTTTCACCTGGACGTTGTACACTGATAAATTTGTCATCCATTCTCCTAATCATACTTATTAATCTCGGATAGCGGCGCGTAGCAGCTAACCCTCCCCAAACTGCTATAGCGCTATAGCGGGTAGCGCTACAACGCTACTGTGCAAAGTGTACCAAAATGATACACTAAAGTGTACTCCACAAATATAAAACTTAAAGAATTAAAATGTGACATAAAAAACAAATTTGAAGGATCTGAAACTCAAACATAAATGATTTCAAACATTAAAATTCAGATCATAAGAAAATTAAAGGAATTAAAGTCTTAAATAATATAACACAACAAAATAAAGTGGTAAAATTAGTCAAAATTCAAACTGCCACTTAAGTGAAATGCCAAAATCAAAGAACTTAAGGTTTGTTTCGGAAGCTGAAGAAGGTTCTAGAATCGAGGATCGACATCCCTCATCTCTTCTCTTCGCTCAACATGTTCTTTTCCTTCTACAACAAGAACACTTTTGTAGAAACTACTATAGCGGCGCAATAGCGCTGCAATTTCAGCCGCAATAACGGCCGCTACACTTCCCTTGGCTGTCGCGGCGCGGTCTGTGGCGGCTAGCCGCCGCACTGCTGCACCGCAACTCTGCTATAGCGCGCTAAAGCGGCGTTATTCATAAGTATGCTCCTAATTCCACCTCATGTGTCAAAGTGGAAGAGGGATCCCTAGAATCTACTAATGTATAACGCATGTCATCTGAATGGGTCTCAGGTCAAATCTATTCTTAATAATGTAAAGGAAAGAAAATAAAAAATACTTTTTAGAAGGCAAGACTCTCATTACTAGCACTTAGAAGCAAATGGGGATGAATAAGGTCTGGACGGCCGAAGATCAGAAATAAATACAGCAATAAAGCAAAACATATTAATAATTGCTATAGGAGATGTTGAATTCTGCATCAAATTGATACATTACACCAAAGCACTACTTTATTCATTCAACTACAATTGTTCAGGATGCAGGTGTTACTATTTTGGGAACAGTTCCGAGCTTAGTAAAAGCTTGGAAGAGTACACAATGTATGGAAGGCTTGGATTGGACAAAGATAAAGTAATATCTCATAAGCTTAAATGATCAAGTAAGTAATATAAAAATGAACTAAACTGTTGCTATATGCAGAACATTTTGTTCGACTGGAGAAACTTCAAATGTTGATGATGACCTTTGGCTTTCTTCAAAATCTTATTACAAACCAATTATTGAATGTTGTGGAGGCACTGAGCTTGCGTCTAGTTACATTATGGGAAGTCCACTGCAGCCTCAAGCTTTTGGAGCATTTAGTACAGCATCAATGACAACTGGCCTTGTCATCCTTGATGAAAATGGTGTTCCTTATGTAAGAACATTTTTTGGATAGTTTACTTTAGATTATATGATTTTATGCACTTATGCTTCCCCCGACTTAACATTGCACTCCATCAGGCCAATACCTGGATTTAATTTTGTTGTTTCAATGGATAATGGATACCAAAGTGCTTATCACATGATCCAGACTTGGGACCAATGGCTTACTGGAAACCCTGATCTCAAAATCTTGGGATTGGCTGCCTGAACTCCTAACGGTCATCAATTAGAATTTCCACATGGATTGTCACGTCAATTTTTTCCTCTAACATCTATTTCTGTTACATTTCCACTAGTGGATGACCAAACTATCTTCAATAAATTTTTGTTATCTTATATAATAGCAATCCTATCTTTGGGTTGAGACAAATTGTTTGTTAGGCTTTCTAATTTATTTGATCTCTTTGACCAATATGACAGCCAGAGGACATTTCTTGTGTTGGTGAAGTGGGCTTATTCCCTCTATATCTAGGAGCAACTGATAGATTACTTAATGCTGATCATGAGGAGGTTTACTTTAAGGGAATGCCCATTTACAAAGGAAAGGTATCTACTTCAATTAATATGCTTTGTGCCAATGTGACAAATGATTTTCACATTTAGATACAGCTATCTTGAAATATTAGTTCTTTCATGCCCGAAGGACAACACAATCTCTTTTCAGATCTGAAAGAATTTTGTGGTTACTTACATCCTAACCTTTTAAGGTCCTAAATGAATTGTTTCATTACATCCCAAATGCTTCCTTGTGGTCCTACTGCTCAAGTACATTTTTGCATGTATACACATACCAAATTGCACATATCCAAAAAAGTTAGAGCATGGGAATACTCTTTGAACTTCGAATGTTTTGAATTGTTGGGTATCAAATACTGCTAATACCTATGTAAGCTATCAATATCCAAATGTACTGTAGATTGGTAAAATCTACATCAAGGATTCTCAGATAATCTCTTCTTTATAAATTACATAATAATTGATTAGTCTGCAGTGCAATTATAATTACTCATTCTAATATTCTGTTATTTATCTACAACTTGTCATGTCTAACATGATATATCTATTAGCAGGTTCTTAGGAGACATGGAGATATAATCAAAAGAACTGCTGGAGGCTATTTGATTGTACAAGGGAGGGCTGATGACACCATGAATCTTGGTGGAATAAAGGTACCACATCATCCACTATATTTAGGTTTATAGCTCCTCCAAGTTCTTCACTGATTAGCTATGAAGCTTCCGAAGGATCGGTCTGCTAGTTAGACATGGTATAAGAATGCTATATATTTCCATGTCTATGGCCCGCATACACTAATAAGAATGGAAGATACTCTGTAACTGATCATGGATTCTTCAGAAATTCTTAATTTTTTTTTTTTTTTATTGGACTGGCTGTTGTTCTTACAAGGAATTTTCTGTTCTGATGTGCAGACAAGTTCTGTCGAAATCGAGCGTGTCTGTGACAGGGCTGATGAATGCATTTTGGAGACAGCTGCAGTCAGTGTTGCTCCTGCAAATGGAGGCCCAGAACAACTTGTTATATTTGTAGTTTTAAAGAAAGGATACAACTCCAATGCAGAAACTCTAAAGAAGAAATTTTCTAAAGCCATTCAAAGCAACCTTAATCCTTTGTTTAAGGTATGATGACCCTTAGTTGATTTTTTGCAATTACAATTTATGAATTGAATGCAGTTTATTACTTTGTGAAAAACAATAACTTAATGACATACAGATCCATAAAATTCTGAGTTTTGAAGGGAAATTAAATTTTTTGTTATTTTACAGGTGACCCTTGTTAAAATTGTGCCAGAGTTTCCTCGAACAGCTTCCAACAAAATACTAAGGAGAGTTTTGAGAGATCAAATGAAACGCGAGCTATCAGTTCAGAGCAGACTTTAGTTACATCTTTAATCCTCAAAAGACCAAGGCATGCATCAAGATTCAGTCCATTTCATGTGGAAATATGAAGATTTTCACTATAATATATGTAGAGTATATTTTTTTCCGGGTGAAGTCCTTGGTGTGGAATCAAATTCTATGCCATGAAAATTCTAATGTACTCCTAGAATAATGCACTGAAACAACTTTGGTTTGAGATATGACATTATAAACCCACCAAAATGGGGTTAGACTTAAGACCTCAATGTTTTTAATAGTTTAACTAAGTTATGTCGTAGTCCTAGGTTTCATCCTTCGGTTGCATGCATTATGATAGTAAACTAATAGAATTTATCAATATAAGTGTTCAAGAAGCAGTATTCTAATGAATTGTTAAGATCCTGGTAGCATATTTGGATGCGTGTGTAGATGTGGGTATGATTTGACAAAGGGGCAAATATTAAAAAGTTAGCCATTTTCTAAAGAATTACATATACACTTTTTCACTTGCATAGTATAACTTCTTCCCTTGTTTTTTGTAAAAAAATAACATAAAAACTTTCACGTTCAAAATAGTTGACCGTGAAATTGTTGTTAGGGACCCTAATCGATTCCAATGGCAAATGCTCGTGTGGATGTTATGTTGGGTTTAATATGCTCTTTTCACTTAAGCCCAATAGCTTTAGTGAGAGTGAGCTCAAAAAGACTAATTTCAATCCATGAAGCTTAGGGTTAATTTTGGATTGGGCAGAGTATATAAACTCTCTTTTCTCTCTAGTGCCTCCTAGGGTTACAGACATCAGAAACACAAAGAGGCAGACGTTCATCATCAGAACGGTTGCCCACACGACCACCTGATCCCCCTTGAGTCATAGCTTGGAAGATCAACCGTTGAGCGGAATTGCGACCGTTCGTGGTGCGTTGCTACAGATCGTGAGGCTTGAGGAGGAGAACAGAACGTGAGAAACTGTCACGCTCGCTGCTTCATCTCAGGTAATCAAAGCGGTGTTCTTCATTCCTCATCGCATCGGTACGATGCGCTTCCGTGTTTCTGATGATATACCTTCATGTTATTGGTGAAACGAAGATTTAAGATTGACTTGCCATTACAATTTATACACTTTTATAAGCCTTTGAAGTGAACCGCACTTTGATACCAATAATGATCCTGTGTATGATGGCAGAAGTGAGTCTTATTTTTAGAATTAAAAAATTAAAAGATCATAATGCAATTTATTATATATATATATATATATATATATATATATATATATATTCCTTATGTTTTTAAATAATTATGTTCATTTCATTATATTGCCCTCTTACTGTATTGATATTCTCATAAAAAAATCTTCTTAGTTTTCTTGAGTGACAAATAATTTGAAATAAATTAAATTTTTTAAAGTGAATTATTTTGAAAGAAAGCTTGTAAATGAATTTCTCACATCCCAACCTAGTCTAAAGTGTTTTTTTTTTTTTCAATCATTAATTAAGCAATCTTCATGAAGACGTATAAAGTGTTTAAAGAAAATTATCGAAAATTAAATTAGTCGGAACTATTAGAATTTTGGACCGATTAATATCTTAAAAAAAATAGTATCAAACATGAGCTAGAAGTGATTCATCACTGTAAATATTGACAAAAGCAAACAATATATGTTAATTTTTATCCCAGGAAAAACGTGGGCTTTTTTATTTGCTTGGCATGATTTCTTCCAAAAATTCCTTGTATTGTGTAAAATCAAAATAAATTTTTGAAAGTGCATATTTGCATAGTATAATTTATGCGCTACATTTACTTTGAAAAAAAAATTATACAAAGTCATGGCATGAATATTGAATCACAAATGGTAAGGTATGTTATTTTATTTTATTTTTGTAGAAAATGTTTTTTTTTTTTAATTTTTTTTTAAAGTTAGTAAGTTTTTTGTTTTATTTTATGTAAAATTCGAATATGGAAAACGCAACTTACTCAAGTTATAATTCTCTTTCATAATTTCTGTTTTATTATTTTAATTTGATATAAAAGTTAATAATAAGAGGCATGAATTAATGTCATAAAGTCTAAAGCTGTCAAAATGTGTTATAAAAAAAAAAAAAAAAAAAAAAACTGTCAAAATGGGTCAGTCTGTCTCATTAGGCCCTAATCTGTGTAGGTTAGGGCCAAAAAGCCAGCAAGAAAAAATGAATCTCAATAATAAAGGTTTGCATGGGACAAAAGCCCTCTATGGGTTAGAGCCAGCCCGTGGGCCTTCCAAATTTATAATTTCATAGTTTTTTTTTTTACCATATTCAATATATTAAAAAATATTTTAACAAATAAATATTTAACATTTTCTTAACATATTTTATACAAAATATAAAATTTTTATAATTTACTTTTTTTAATAAAATGATATTTGTATACAAATATACAAGTAAAAATGTAACCAAAATTTTAATATAAGTAAAAATTTAGTTACTACCTTTACTAAATTCATTATTAAAGGATGCCATCAAATAGAGATTTTTTCACATTTATCCACACAAAAAAAGATTTTCTCACTAGTAGTCATAATAGTATACAACAACTCCGGTGGAAAACTAAAAGTTAAAAGTAACGATGAAAAATGATCTGAATATTAGTATTGAATAACTACTCTTGTTATGCTATATATTTAAAATTAAAATAATTGATTTTCCTCAACTACTACCTTTACAAAAAAAAATTTAGTTTTTATTATCAAAAAATTACTAAAGTGCATTGTATACAATATATTTCAATACAAATTTGGATATATAACAAGCTTAGATGTCAATAGAAAATTTTATTTTTATTGATGCACAGATGAAATTCTTTGTCGAAATATATCACTGCTTAAAAATTTATTTTTGTTGTAAAATATTATGGATGACTTTTCATTTGGTTAATAACATGTGACTCTTTGTTTTCATGACCTTTGATGTACTGATGGTGTGTTGAATTGTAGAATACATTCAATAAGGAGTGTTGTAAAATATAATGGATGACATTTCACTAGGTTCATAATATGTGGCTTTTTGTTTTTCATGATCTTTGATGTGTTCTATAACCATTACATTAATGGTGTGTTGAATTGTAGAATACATTCAAGGAAGAGTTTTGTAAAATATTATGAATGACCTTTCACATAGATTATGGATGACCTTTCACATGGTTTATGTGGCTCTTTATTTTTCATGACCTTTGATGTATTTTACAACCATCATACTATTGATGTGTTGAATTGTAATTATTCCCCTAATTATGTTTGAAGTCCTATATAAGGACATATCTTAGATAAAAAAGTGGTATTTGATGAACTAAGAATATAATATTATTTTCTTATCTTCAAGAACTCATACTTGTTCTTATCTTATTCTTCCTTTGATTTTTTTTGTACACTTCATTTTTATTTCTTTAATTTTTCACTTTCTCTTACATTCTCCATCAATTTTACAACAATTTTTACTTATATTAAGTTTATAATTTATTATATATTTATAAGTATTTAAATTTTCATTTTCAATAAAGTAAAAAGTTTGGCATGCGGGTCAACCCTAACCCAACCTGCTAAATTATAGGGAGGGTTAGCACTAAAAAAAAGCCAAACTACAAAAAGGCCTTAATGGGTTAAGGCCAAATATAAGGCTTTGCAAGGTGGCCCTCAGGATTCAACCCATTTTGACACCTTTATAAACCTCATCCATGAGTCATTAGACGTAGAGGTGTTAATGGGCCGAGCCGAGCCGAGCTTTGTTCGTAAAAGGCTAAGTCTGTATTTAAATGTGTCAGCCTGACCAAGCCTGTTACCTGTTATAAATATAATCATCAACCTGTGGCTTAACTTATTTACAATAAATAAAAGTCTAGTTTAGCCTGTTTAAAAAAAATAAGACAATAAAAATTTATCCAAAGAGAATATACAATCAACAATACTAGTAATTCCATAAATATTCATAAATTCAATATATATCCAAACAGCATAATATAAAATAAAATCATTCAAAAAGTCTGTTTAACCAACAAAATTGGATGAAATGGATTGTGGAGAAAGAGAGTTATTACAAGTAGTATAAAAATATATACAATAAAAATAATAATAATATACTAGGTCAGCCTGAGAGGCTCTAAGGCCGAGTTTTTGAATTGAAACCTGAGACCTTTTTATTAAACGAGCTTTTATACAAGTTCAAGCCTGGTACCAACAACCAATTTCAGACATATAAGCTCAGGCCTTTACGAGCCGAGCCAAAGGCCTCTGGTTCATTTAGCACCCCTAAACTTAGACGGATGTCATACCCTTTTCGATACATCTCTAAATATGTTTTTTTTTTTGCTTTGATAGCAAATCCTAATCAATATTATAATAATTCATCGTAAATGATTTCTTATGATAACAAATAATAATTGATATCCTAATAAATAGTAATTGATATCTTTCCTCCATAGACTATAAAATAATTAATGTTTCTAAAGTGAATGTAGATAAGTTATCTACATTCGCTCCCAAAAACGTCGTTTTGGGTTGAAAAATTAAAAAATCATAATGAAAAAGACTATTATAATCCTAAAATCAATTATAATTATAAAATATCTTGATTTCCACCTCAAAATGAAGTCATTTTGAGCTCACTGTAGATAATTTATCTACATTGACGGTAGAAAAAGCGAACCCTTCTATGTATAACTTAAGCTATTTAGTTTGAGTGTGTTATTATGTATTTATTTTTTAACATGATTGCTATTATTTTATCATTAATATATACTATATACACACATGTAGGAAATATGTGAATATAAATATAAAATAAGTATCATTATTATAATATTATTGTAAAATATGAATTCTAGATGTGGATAACTATTGGAATACAAGAGATTTATTTGTCCACTCTCTCTTTTCCTTTATCTATCTCTTTCTCTCACTTAAAATGACACAACTTTGTATCTTTTAAAATGATACATATTTTTTCCTATTTTTATACTTTTCGAAAAGCTCTTCTTTGTTCTTCATATGTTTTTTCCTCTTTAGTTTTCTTTTTTCATTTCTCTCCTTTAATTTTATAACAAATATGAAATTATCAATATCAGAGTGATATATTAAGGTAAAAACATTTGAGTTTTATAGGTTAGTAGTAAATAAAGTAATTGAAATATGTCATTGAGATAGTCTTTTAGTCTGTTTGCAGTGCTAATGCAAACAAAATCAAGGTCATTTGAGTAGTTTAGTTATTAAACTTCTAAACAATATTGAATTGTTTCCTTGTAACTGTTTTCCTGGTTGAGTTGGATTAAAAACTTTATGACACTTATTGAATAATCGTCCATTCAAGTAAATCTACCATAGGCAATATTTCTTTGATTGAATAATGTGTCTCTTTATTTTTTATGACCTTTAATGTATTTTATAATCATCACACTAATGGTGTGTTGAATTATAAGAATATATGCAAGGATGAGTGTTGTAAAATATTATAGATGACCTTTCACATGGTTCATAGCATGTGACTCTTTGTTTTTCATGACCTTTAATATATTTTATAACTTGTGTTGAATTATAGAATACATTCAAGAGGGAGTGTTGTAAAATATTATGAATAACCTTTTACATAGTTCATAACATGTGGCTCTTTGTTTTTCTTGACCTTTGATGTATTCTACAACCATCATATTATTAATGTGTTGAATTGTAATTATTTCCTTAATTATGTTTAGAGTCCTATATAAGGACATATCTTAGATGAAAATAGTGGTACTTGAAGAATTCAGAATATAATAATATTTTCTTACCTTTGAGAACTCATACTTATTCTTATCTTATTCTTCCTTTGATTTTCTTTTTATATTTCATTTTCCTTTCTTTCATTTTTCACTTTCTCTTACATTCTCCATCAAATTCACAATCTTTACTTATATTAAGTTTATAATTTATTTTATATTTATAATCTTTTCATTATAATTTTTTAATTTTCAATCCAAAACGATGTCATTTTAGAAACGAATATAGATAACTTATCTACATTCACGGTAAAAACATTAAAGCCTATTTAAATTTATATCATTTTTTAAAAACTAAGTTTATATAATTTTTAGCTTTTTAAGTAATGAAATTTTTAATAAAGTAAGAAGTTTGACCCGCGAATCAGCCCTAACTCAGCCCGCTATATTATAGGGCTTTGAGGGTTATGACTAAAAAAATCCTACCACGAAAAAACCCTAATTAGTTATAATCAAATATAGGGTTTTGTGAGCTCACCCGTGAACTTCAGTTCATTTTGACACCACCTCTATGACATAAACCTCATCCATGAGAGTCCTTAGACGGATATCATTCTCTTTTTGGGAAATCTCTCCCCTAATTCTCAACCCCAAAAAAATAAAATAAAATAAAATAATAAAAATAAGAATAATAAATAAACAAAAATAAGGCTAGATCTTCAAAGAATAAACGTGCAAATATCTAATTTTGTTCAAATTACTTAAAAAGGTAAAATGAAACTGGCATTCAGTTACTACTCTGAAGATCACATGGTAATTGCAAACATACACACTTCCCAACAGTATCCAGTTACATGATCTGCTGGTTGATGCTGCAACTGCCAAGCTTTGAGAACCACCCCCTATCCCGCAAAAATAGTGAAAAAGTGAGCTTAAATAAATTATAAAGCCAGTATCAAATGCAAACAGAATTTCATCATCAAAATTATAATCTGTAGATCTCAACAAAACAAAAACAAAACAAGACAAATATGTGTCAATAGTACTGCTACATTTGATCAATTACAAAAATGATGGCGCTGGATCATACCGCTGTAGTACAGTAGTAAGATACCAACCGTAAGTCTCTTTTAACATGCATGCCAAATGGCAGAAAACTGTAATAAAGAGGAAACAATGGGTAGTTATTTTTACAAATGGATACTCAACACCGATTGAAGCCACTTTCAAACTTCAAGTTATAGGAGAATGCAAATGCAGAGGAAAAAAATACAAATTGGAAATATTATAATATCTTTGCTTCTCCTGCCAAGATAACAACCAAATTGTAACTACTGCCAGAAAAAAGCGCAAAATTGGCTGCAGCTATGCTGAAGCAAGATAAAAGTCAATTTGCTATGTATTTTCCCAGCCTAGATTTTCAAATCTCAGTTTCATTTCTTAGCCAAGACCTCCCCTTTGAACTCACTACCAGCAGTGACCACAAAACATGCTCCAACCTGCCAAAGACAGGCAATGTCAAATTCCAATTCAAATTGCAAAATGAAAAAATAGCCAGAAAAGGAGAAATGAATCACTTGACAATCTTTTAGCACAGCACGTTCTTGGAGCTGTACATTGCTGCAGACGACAGAACCTTGGATGGAACAACAGTCCCCAATAGTAACATGATTCATAACTACTGAATTAACAACCTGCATACATAAAAGCAAGTGCAAAAAACTTGTAATAAACATTACTGAATAAAAACCATTAGTAAGATGCAAAGCCAACGTTGCTGACCAATCACTGAGGACTAGAGATCATATGTCGCAGACAAAAAAACTATCTTCCTGTTAAACTTGTAAGAATAATGTATCATCCCACCTTAACATTGGCACCTATCCTACAGTGACGGCCAATGACAGACCGTTTCACACTGCATTTGTCACCCATCTGTGAACCTTCCCCCAGCATACAATGTGGTCCAACCTAAAAAACAATCACATATATGAACTTTAAAATGGGAAAAGCAAAAGTAATGCTTCTGAAACTGTATATCAGACAGCACAACTAAAATACAAACACAGAAATTAGTTGGAAAGTGTCTGCAGTGTGTTAAACTAACAGTTGTTTTTGCCCCAAGCTCTGCAGAAGGATGGATAATGTTGTTTTGGGCAGAGAAGGAATACCCTGATAAATGACTAGCCTCTCCTATCACCTGTCATATTAAAAAAAGAATAAAGCCCAAGCAAGCAGAACTGTACCAAAAAAATATAAGGCAATATCAAGTGCCCAATAAAAGACAACAATATAACAAACTCACATCTCGATTTATGTCACTGTATGCTTGTATAGAATTTAAGCGAGCACAGTACTTGCTGCTTCCAGCAATATAAACACAGCATTTATGGATTCTTCGAACAGAAGTAGAACCATTAGGACCCAGTGCATGCCGTTGATGAAAGGTCAGTCCAGATGCATTAGCAAGTATTTGAGATAGCATTTGTTCATTGCTTTGAGAAATAACCTTTTCAGTTCCATTTTCTTCTGCTTGTGGCATACCATTTAATAATACTTCCGATTTCTAACTCTCATTTAGAAAATTTAAACCAGGTTAGAATCCTTAAAAATGTAACATCCCTTAACCTATCACTGCAAAAACTTTAAACAACTAACCAGTTGACTCCGGACAAGATATGGCAATACATCATGCCTTAAGCTATGAAATGCACCCTTCTGATCTAGAACTTCTTGTAGAACTGATCTGCAAGAATAAAATGTTTCAGGATACAAACACAAATAATTTAAGATATAGAATATAGAAGGAAGTTGAGAAGTAAATGAACATACCTTTTGAATGCATACAAGTGGGCATCCATTAGATCAGCTCTTATTTCTATCTATATGAAGGTCAAATAACAAAAATAAAAAAACAATCAAAGAGAAAAAAGAACATGCAAAAGTCTTTCATTTAAATTTCTAGTACTCGGATGGAAAATTTTATTTCTATAAGATAGAACATGTACATAGCAGAAAAAATGCTTGGAAGTAATCTTTTAGAACATACACTTAATTTTCACACTAGAAGAGCGGTAGTTTTTTTAACTTTAGAGAAAATCTCTGTAGAAGGAAGTAGGAAGGTTTAGAGACAAGGAAGAAAAAAAGTACCTGGCCAACTGCACGGAGTATGCTCTTCTGAATTCGAAGATCTTTTTCAACTTCAGCTCCTAAAAAGAGTTGCGAGATTCCACATTAGAACACGTACAGTAAAATGCCCTATAAAAAGGAAAGCTTGAAATCTAACCAGTTGCTATGTGAAGTAAAAACTGTTTTGTGGGATCCAGCCCTATTAAATCGTAGCGGCTGGGTTTCTTGGTTTTGTCTTTCCCACCAGAGGATCCTGACTCTGAAGGTCCACTTACAGGAGCAGGGCAAAGCATAGCAGTGACAACTGCATCATGACGTCTATGAGTAGCTGCAACGGCTCCAAGCGGCACATCAGAAACAAGATCACCACTGACAATCTGCAGAAAATTAACATAACCATAAAGAACAATATTAATTAGATCTCAGAGATAGAGGACAAGGGAGATAGATATTCACCAAAATGTCTTTGGCAGTTAGGTGGTGTGCAATGGCCCGAATTGCACCAGCTGTTCCTACATCCTCAGGAACTGCAGCAACCTGTAACAATTTCAAACACAAATCATCACACATTTGATAGTGTATGAATACGTTAGGCAATCAGCATCGGTAATAGCCAAAAAGGGACAGCAGAACAAACAAGTACAAACAATAACTCGATCATGACTCCACTTCTCCATATTTAGGCTGCATAATAGCTAATCACGTCCTTTATAATCAAATTATCAATACTACATGGTTCCATGTGGTCTTTATCATAAAGCTAATATATAATACAACAACAACAACAACAACAACAACAACAACAAAAAAGTGATAAATAATTATAGGACTAGTAAAAACATTTTACTCCTTATTTTAGGTCCAACAACTCCAAACCTAAAGCTAATGAAATGGTTTCGGGCTGCGAGGGTATTCACTGTCCTCTTATTAGGCTTCCACAACAACCAGGCCTTTACCTACTAGGTGGGATCGGTTACACACACACACACACACACACACACAAAAAAACCCCATTGTGCTCTATAAAGAGCAAAAAAAAGGAGTTAATGTTTGGTTAAATGATTGAAATCAGTATCTTCCTGATCCTGCTATTAGGCAGTGGAACAAAGTAATAAATCAATAATAAAAATAATACCTCAACATGAAGGCGATCAGCATAAGCCCCTGAAATCCAACCCCCAACATGAAAAGCCGCATCCTCACCTTCAACAACCTACTCAAAACAAGTCAACACTCAAATTTCATCACTAATTCATGAAAATCACTATTTTCCCTCTCTAACATTGAGAAAAGAAATTAGAGTTAAGAGGATGATACCACAATGAGATCTTTAAGGTTGCTAAGCTCCAAGAGCTCAAGAACGTAAGAGAGAACTGGACGGTTCGCCACCGGAAGTAAAGCGTTTGGAACCTCCTGCAAACCGAAAGAAATGCTTCAATAGAATTTGGGGGAAATGGATTTATTTTTTGAAGCATTACCGTTGCGAACCAATAGAAGAAGAAGAAGAAAGACGAATGGGTACCTCTGATACGAGGGGGAGGAGCTTCTTGGAGAGGCCACCGGCGAGAACAACCACTTGGAAGTCCATTATATTCATCACAACAAACAAACAAACAAACAAACCAACAGGGTTTTGGGTTTTCAGAGGGTTTTCGTTTTCTTCTCCCACAAATAAAATCTCAGATTGAAAATTCAATCACGCACGGCACCACTCACTCCCACAAGTACCAAACTCAAACTCAAACCCAAACACCACTTTCATCTCCCTTTCTCAATTTATATATCTACATCAATTCCACCTTCCTTTTTTTTTACACTCTCTACATAATTTGTTCCCCGCACACAACTTCTATTACATTAATAATAATAATAATAATATATGAAAAAAGAAACATATTATTTAATATGTGATATTAAAAAAAGTTACACCTTAAATTCCGTAAATTCGTGACTTTTTTTTATAAGGATTTTTTTTGTAAGATTGGCACATTCGAATTATATTTCATTCATATATGATACATTCATGTCATATATTTAAAAAATGAATACGCATTCTTTTTTTTAAAAAGATATGAACATTTTTTATGTGTTACATTTATTATCCGTGATATCAAATTTATCATTTGATAATAATAATAACGTTATTTTTTTCATTTAAATATGAATTCAACGACAAAAATATGTCATCAAAAGAAAAAAAAAAGTGTCATATATTTTTAGGGAGTTATTAATCTCATGTTGTTTGAGATAGTTTTCTCATGTATGCGAGATAAATATATGGGGTCCACACTTTAAAACAAAAGAAAAAAGAAATTTAAAAAACTGACACAAAATTCGATAAATGTATAAAATGAGAGTTATCTCCAACGAAATAAGAAAAATATTTTTCATATTTTTAAATAAATAAATTGAACATACAAAAGAAAATTTAATGAATCTGGCACAAATAATAATAAACTCTTTAATTGGTTAGAGAGGTGATGGAGTAAATATTTCTCTTGGAGGGTAAAATAAATTAAGGGAAATCATTTTTTTATATTGTTGGAGATTGCTTTCTCATGTTGTGAGGTATCGAAATTCGTGTTATCTTTTTTTTTTTTAACAAGTGGTGGGACTATCACTTGTTGTATCTATAGCATGAGATATGTTATCTTATGTGATATGAAAAAGAAGAAGGGCTTTCAATCGGTCATGTAACAGCAAAATGGACTATCTTCCAGCAGACCCATCGATAAGTGTGATGTCTATTTCTTTTTTTCTTTTTTTGAAAAACCAATGGCGGGACCCACTTTTGGTGTTTGTGTGGCATGATGCAGTGATTTTCCTGTAACATTATTTTCATAAATCCCAAAAAAGAAACCCATAAATTAATGTTATAATGATTTGAGAGACAACAATATCAACTACAGCTTAAGAAGACCGTCGTTGAAGCCTCAAGAAACTAAGGGGAGGTGAAATGGGCTCAATTATAACCGTTAAATGGTGATTTTTGCAAGGTTTTACAAAGGGAGTAATGAAAATGAAGTGATGAGGAGTAAAGGTATTTATAGTGAGGAGAGATTCTCCTAAAATTTGGTACCACAATCATTTTCTATATTTGTGGGCCTCACTAACGTGTAAATTTGAATGACTCCTCACATATAAGGGTTATAAGTGCGTGAGAGTGAGGGATAATTAGATGTGGACATGATCATTAATTTTTTAACGAGGGATATAGCATTTGACCCGTCCAAATTAACTCTTATAATTATTTTTATATCTTTCTCATTTACACATTAGAGCAAGAAACAAGAAAGGATTCAAATATTTCTCCTTTTTTTTATCAAATCAGCTACTCCACATTGTACATTTGTTAGTTTATGTGAATGATGTTCTCAACTAAAACTCCCTAATTTTCATTAAAACGCTCATTTCTAATTAAACAAAGAGTCATTAATTATTTTGTGTATTTATCCAAAAGCAAAACAAGACTAGAATGCATCAAGCTAAGCGACTAGCACATATACAAACCTTTGGTTATACCGTTGCCCCCAAGAGCACCATTACAATAAGACACTTCACCCTCTCAAGGTATACCTAAGCTCACCACACAAACAGTTCTGGTACTTCGCCAAATATTGACATTTGATTTTTTGACAAATGGCTATGTGGTCGTGGATATTATGTTGTCTAAATCTGTTAAATTTAAAAAAAAAAAAACTTTAATATGTAATCGTTGTTCTGACACCACTTGTTACCAATTTCACTCCTTGACCAATGACCAATGACTTCAATAAACTATGAATGTCTCAAGAACGAGAATGAGGGAAACTATGAACACAACTTTATCAACAAGTTTGTTGCATTGTCTCCTTTGTCAACAAGTTCTCATAATATCATCAAACATTTTAACCTTGATGGTCCCAATTCATGCAACCTTGCAAGAAGTATCATTGCCTATTTACACTTTGCCTCTGGTACAAAATGTTAATATCTCGAACCAATTCTAATGTAGATCCGGAATCTATAAACTAGTCTCTTGTCACGAGATCATCCTGAACTTAAAATAAACTTCTAAAGTCTTTTAACTATAGCGAGGTAAAGTTATGGAGAAATATGCGTGCACAAGGTTTACATGGGAGATATAAATGCAGGAGACATATTGATCAAATCAATTCCAACTCATAAGTTCAAAAGTTGTTTGGACCTAATACATTTCACCTCATTATGAGTTTGAGGTGAAGCTCTTTATCCAAGTGAAGTTCAAATAAATACACCAATAACGTTCAGAGGAAGACATAACTTTTGAATATGATCCAAGGTGGGGGATTGCTAAAATTAGAAATTAAAATTAGTGACTCATGTTCAAAAGGATGAGAGTCATAGATTAAAGTGAGGTTTATATTTTTTGTTTATAAAAAACTTTAATTTATTTACTAAATGGAAGGACATATAAACCTATAGCCATTGTACAAAATTCAATTCAACAATTGTAAATCATTCTACTTTTACAAAGAGAAATTAATAATTTCTCATTTCGCTTGTCAGTGTTCGACAAGGTTGTGTTTATAAATTCTCTTCGTTTGTATTCTTAAGACGTTCATATTTTAGTGAAGTCAATGGTTAAGGAGTGAAAATCATAACGTTATTCAATTTACTTAGAGTGTTTTTTTTTTTTTGGGGCAGTCTACTTGAGTGTTTTTGTGTTCATAATAGAATTTTTTAATTTATTCAGATACCGTTTAACTAATTGACCCATGCAAATGCTAGATGTAAGGTAGAGCTCTAGGTGGACGCAAAAATGCTTGAACCTCAATATAAATTTTTTATAGGAAGAATAATATTAGTTGTTGTCCTCTTTAAATATAATGTGACGCAACAAATGACAAGTTCGGGTGAAAACACGTAAGATTGTTGTCCTGAATAATGCGCAGCAACAAATGACAAGTTCCGCTAAAACACACATGATTTACCTTTGCCAAATGGAAGAATTAGAAAGCTATTAATTAGACTTAGATACCACAACCAAATCTAAAATCTTAAAACATCAGATCCATGAATTTTTTCACTTATTTGATGTTCATTCAAATTATTTTTATCTAATGTGAACTTCACTCACTTGTACTTAAATTCCCATCCACTCATTTCATTTTTAATTAATGAAAACTTCAATTACTCATACTTAAATTCCCAAACAATACAAACCTTCCCTGCACACGCAATTTGCCATGGCGTTGCCCATAAACACCCTGCGCTTTATGTTCTTTTATAATACACGGCAGAGCTCATATATTTACTACGAACCATAATAACTAATTAGGGGTGTTCGTGGTTTGGATTTGATCGGTTTTGGAACTAAAATTCATTCGATCTAATCTCTTCGGTTTGATCATATAATCATCTATTCGGTTTTGATTTGTTTTCAAATCTGATTCGATCCAATCCAATTTTTTTCGGTTTGGATTGGATCGGTTTTTGGTTTTTTAAAAATTCTAAAATTTATTTCATGATTATTGTGCAAATAACATCTTTTGCATATATTGGCTTTGTAAATTAATTTTTTTTGAAATACAAAAGCATTAATAAACTATAATATAAATTTTTTTTTTGTAATGAGATATGAAGCTCTACAAAGATAAAATTTTGTTGATGAGATATGACTAAATTTTTTTTTGGGTTTAGTTAATGGGCTAATGGGTCTTAGGTTTAGAAATTTTTAGGCTATGATTAGGGAAAAACCCAATAGGTAGAGAGGAATTAATATATTGGATCAGTTTGGATTGGATCGATTTTCATCAACCCATCCAAAAACCGATCCAATCCAATTAAAATTTGCAGTTTTTAATCGGTTTTCGTTTTTTCGGTTTTCGGTTATCGATTTTTCGGTTCGGTCACCGCGATTTGCATCGATTTGGATCGGTTGATAAACACCCCTATAACTAACTATTCCATATTTCTCGCTTTCTTTGGCTTTTTGACCCTTATAACCCTTTACTAATAATTAATTACCAAATTGACCTTCATTATAAACTATTTCAAAAATTTAACCCCCTCAAAAAACATAACACCAATCTGCCCCTGTTTGACCGTTGACCACGAAGCCTACCCGGGTACACCCCTACCTACCCGGGTATCTTTTGAAATTTTTTGTTTACCCGGGTAGAAAGGTGTGTACCCGGGTATTGTTCTTGATTGCTTGAATTATTTACCCGGGTACAGATGAGTGTACCCGGGTAAATCTTGTAAAGTAAACAACCCTTCAATTATTGATAGCAGTGAAAAGTCGTCGACAAATTTGTTGGTTACTTACATAATATGGAGATTCTTAAATGGATACTAAAGTATCTTTGTTTACTTTCTATTTCTTGGTTTATGTGAAAAGCGGGCGATATTTTGAATCACCAAAATATAATATTTCCAGACATAACCAGTTATAAACCCATCCTTGTCCCTTGGATCCCTGTTACCATTTCTCAAAGCCTGGTAATATACAGGAACTTCAATAGCATGATAGACCCTGAGGTATGACCTTAACCTCAATGCATCATCATCACTCGTCACACAGAGCCTAGAAGGCAAACCCACCATAATCATGCTAGCACACATTTTGGAGGATAGGAAAATTTGCAGCGGGCTTCCTAAGGAGTGATTGTAAAAAGAAAAGAGTGCATCGTCTAGCTTTTGTGAAACAAAATGAGCTTAGTTGGATTTTCTTTGAAATTCTTAAAATGTATCGTCGATTTTGGAGTTCGTGAATCGGTTCTGAATCTGTATGCTCATTTCTTGGTTTACAAGATTTACCCGGGTACACTCATCCGTACCCGGGTAAATAATTCAAGCAATCAAGAACAATACCCGGGTACACACCTTTCTACCCGGGTCAACAAAAAATGTCAAAAGATACCCGGGTAGGTAGGGGTGTACCCGGGTAGGCTTCGTGGTCAACGGTCAAACAGGGGCAGATTGGTGTTATGTTTTTTGAGGGGGTTAAATTTTTGAAATAGTTTATAATGAAGGTCAATTTGGTAATTAATTATTAGTAAAGGGTTATAAGGGTTAAAAAGCCCGCTTTCTTTATTTAACCTGAACGTATCTCATGTTTTGATATTTCTATTTGTATGTGTACCTTAGAAAGAACCAAATCTGGACAAGAAAACAAAACAAATAACATAACTACTTTTCTGTTATGAACCAAATCTGCTTCACATAACACACACTAACTAAAGAGTCTTTACTTTCACTTCACTCACTAGATTTCAACACAACACCCTGATTGAACAAACCCAGAAAAATCATCAGGCACACTAATCCTTCTCAATTTACGTTTATACCCTTCCTCCATTTCCACCAAATAGAACCCATGCTGTGCCCCTTCGTATTCGGATCCTGTCACCAAGGTCCTCGACCCGATCACCACCCCACAAACCCCAACTCGGAGCCCCGGATCCACCCCGCTCCAATTCACCGCTTTACCATCTTTCCCAATCCCAGCACACGACCTTGGGCACCGACCCGGTTCCCAAACCCCATCAACCAGCCTCCATTTACCCGACCCGAAATCAAACACCTCCACTGACTCGTCAAACATCCCCTGACTCTCGGTGGCGTAGCCGCTCACCACCCAGAACTCGTCGCCGACCACCGTCCCCTCGCACTCGTCCCGCTCCCGGCTCATCGGAGCCAACCCGCTCCATTCATCGCTCCGCGGGTCGTAGGCCCACGCCGTGCGCAGAGCGTTCTTGTTCTCATCGTGCCCGCCCGCAACGTAAACCCGACCATGACCCGACCCGACAGCAAAGAACGACATCTTGGCAGGCATGTCCCTCCCCCGCCGCCACCGGCTCGTTCGGAAATCGTAGACGAAAACCGCCGTCAGGGGCTCGTAGCTCGCCGGGTCCCACCCTCCCATCAGCACCAGCTCCCCGTCGCAGCTCGCCAATTGGCAAAACAGGGGCAACCCAAACGGGGACTCTGGAACCGGGTCGACCCGGTCCCACGACATGCTTTCCGGGTCGAACACGGTGATCCCGAAACTCGGCGACACTGACCCGGTTGGTTTTTCACCTTCTTCATGGTTTGGTTGCTGTTGATGCGCCTGAACCAAACAAGAGACTCTTCGGGTGTGCCCCGTTTTCTTCCGGTGGTAGTAGAACTCGTCGCTCTGGAGCAAGCGCCACCATTGGCTGCAGACTCGGAGGGCGACTCGGTGTGCTGAGTGAGGCAAACGAGTCAGGCACTCTAGTCCGAGGTCGCTCGGTAACCCAGGTATCAACTCAATGAACTCGAAGATCTCCATTGCGTTTTAATTTGCTTTGAAACTGAGTGAGTGTGACGAGGGTGACAGGTAGAGCATTTATATAGTTACAAGCCCATGATAACTCAAATAGAAATAACTTCACGTATATATAGATCTTGATGTGTTAATTTGAACCAAAAAATTTCTGTTAAAGGTGTATATGTAAAAATTGTGGATATTCTAATTACTAAAAAATTTTATTGTTAATTTATTACTCATCACATTATCATTAGATCAAAGAGAGAATGTTAAAAAGTTTTTAAAGAGAGAGAATGTTAATCAAATAGTGATTAGACAGGTAGTAAGTTGGTAGTGAAAAATTTTGGTAATGAGAATTCTTTTTTTTTTTGGTAAGCTGGATAAAACACACCACAACACAAATTAGTAATGAGAATATCTCTTCTAATATGTAAAATGTGTTTTTGTATATATTTTAAGGATTTGTTGTTTGTCATTTTAAATGACATAAGTTATGTCATTTTAAGAGAGATAGACAAAAAGAATAGAAATCATGGGAGAGAAAGTGAGTAGTTTTTTTAATTTAAATTTTAAATAAAAAATATTTTTATGAGTCTATCTCTTTCTTAAAATGACATAATTTTGTGTCATTTAAAATGACAAATACTTTTCGAACGAGGTTATACTTATTATCTATTTTATTATTATTTTTTATTATCAAATTTTAATTGTTGTTTTTTCTAATCTAACGGTTATAATTTATTAAAAAATTAATAAATATGAATTAATAAATTATAACCGTTAAATTGACGAAAATCAAAGGTTAAGATTTAATAATAAGAGATAGTAAAAAAAAATATAATCTTCCCATACAAAAAATATCTATTATATAAGGACATATCAGTAAATCAAAGATTTGATAAAAATTTACAAAATTTATCGACTAAGGTTTGAACTTTTTGGCATGCATTTATCACTATGTAATGTTAAGTAAATAAATAAATAAACAAATGAAATTGATATAGCATTGATGGGATTATTTAAAATTAAAAGAAAGAAAAAAATGTTTGTAATTTTAAATGACATAATATTTTGTCCTGTCAAGAGAAAGATAGACACAAAAAACAAATTTTATTTAAATTTTAAATTAAAAAATCACTCACTTTCTCTCTTCCATGATTTTTATTTTTCTGTGTTATCTCTCCCCTAAACTAACATAATTTAGGTCATTTAAAATGACAAATACTAAACCCTTAAAAGAAGTGGATATTTTATAAAATTAAAATAAAATGGATAAGTAAGAAATGGATAAGGTTGCATACGTGTGAAGGAAACCCAAATTGATGAGAATGCATAAAGACCTGCCTCGTGTCAGATAATGTATCCTACAACTCTCTCTCAGTAACTGTCGAATCGAATTGTCGTTGTCGCAGCAATAATATCCCCAGGATAAACCCAACGGCCCAACCCCCTCCCCCGGCCCAAGATATTGATATTTTGCATTATTTTATTTTTATTTTTTTGTTATTTTTTGGTACAAGCATTATTTTATTTTAATTTTGTAAAACGATATTTTGCATTATTTATTTTTATCTATTAAATTAATTTAATATAATTTAAAAATCATAACTTCTTAACATCAGTTACACATTTCTTTAAAATATTGTGCTGTATACTACTATTACGTTAGTGCAATTAGCTAATGGGAAAAAAAATTATTAATTAAATATGGACAAAAAGTTTTCTGATTTTAATCAATTTACGAACTATTAACTGTATTATTGTAGTTCAATTATTGATTATATCATAAAGTTTGCAATTATCGAGTGTTGTATTTATTTTTCTATTTAATATCGTTCCTTTAATAAAATATGTAATGCAAATAAAAATACTGTCGTTAAAAAAGATAGAGGATTATAAATTTGTATTCATATATAATATTTTATTCTAAAATATTATTATAAGTTAAGTCTGTTATTAATTGGGTAAACCCGGAAATCTAACGTGGAATGACGTGACATGCAAAATCAAGATAATCTCAATCACCTTATCCATTCAATCTCTAGTTAATCAATTGGTACGGTGAAATTTGTATTTAAATAAATGCAAGAGCAGGAGGGCCAAGTAATAAAAACGAGCAAAAATTATATCAGAAAACCAGAAACACATGCTGGTGTTCCTGTTTTCTAAGATAAAATCCTTTTAATAACCTGATATAAATTGAGTTTTAGCAAATTAATCTAAAGGGTGATGAACAATTTCATTTTTAGATATTAATGAAAAATTATTTGTAAAACTATTTACTTCAAAAGTCCCTAATGCCGAGATAGTAATTTATTATCTAAACAGAAAGAAGAACGAAACAAGGATCATGACAAAGCACTATTTCTCTTTTCTTAATTTTCTTTAGCAAAAAACAACTTAATAACAATAGAGTTCTCCAAGCCTTAAATAGGCAAAAATAAAATAATAAAAAAAGTAAATAACTATAATCATGCGTAATCAAAGGAGATAACGCACAATCAACGCACTCTCAAACATAATCTAAAATAACAAAAAGGAAATAATTAGTAATTATTAAAATCCCTAAATAAAGAAATAAATAATGAAAAAGCCTAATCCAAGCGAGTCAGCTCAAGTGTATCATTCTCTTCCACTTGAAAAAGATTCGCCCTCGAATCTGCTTCGTCTTCATTGATATGAACTTCTTCAGGTGGTAACTCTTTTGGTACAATATCATCAAATTTCTTAATTAAGATTATGACTTGGAAATGCAATTCTTTGATATGCTTGGTATATTCATTTGTAGTTTGGATTAATGATCGCATCTGTGATCCGTCATAGGAAAACTTTGTCTGATGTATCAGCAAGTCTCATTGCCCTTGACGATGTCCAATTAAACTTTTATCAAAAGCTAAATCTTTATCTCAATGAAGCATAAGGTTGTTATGCTCGTTGTCCCCAAATTCATAATACCGCTAGCCAACTAAAGACTTCTTGGATGAAGGATCATTCTGCATGATATCTTTGGGTAGAACTTCATCTTTGTCAGAGATATTAGAATTTCTAATAACTAACTTCTTATCGGAATCACTACAAGAGATTTTATTGTAAATAATAATATTTATTTATTTATTTATTTGTTGTATTGGGCTTAACCCATTAGATCATGTAATCTCTTTAAATAGAGAACCCCTTGTACAATTTACATACAATTCAATAATATATCAGATTACCCTTTTTCAAGTTGGTATCAGAGCTCTCGATTCGGAGGGTTCTGCTTCCGCAAATCACCGTCTTTAAAAACCAAACCCTATTTGTCTCTCGACGCCACAAAGTCATCGCCGGAAAAAAAATTTCGGGGACCTTTTGGACCGTGAGGACCCCTGTTTCAATCTGTTTTCTTAGATCTATCATTCTACGGAGGTTTCTTTTTCATCAGACGACCGGAACAGCTTAAAAAAATGTAGTATTGTTCATCGCGCAATGTTCATGCGGTAATGTTCATCGGGTACTGTTCACGCGATACTGTTCATCGGGTACTATTCACAAAAACAAAAACAAAACTTTTTCTGCTTGGTTTTGTCTCCGCTCCATGAATCAGCTTAAACCCGCTATTGATAATATGTGTAAGCCATCTGACCGTTCTTTGATCTTGTCTGGTAAGAACACACATTCTACATCCCTTCTTGCTTCTTGCACTGATTTTAAAACCTCATGGATTTTGGATTCTGGTGCAATTGATCATATGACTTGTCGTATTGAGTTTTTTCTTTCTTATCATCCTATTGTTGGTAGTCATACTATATCCGTAGCTGATGGATCCCATAAATCAGTTATTGGTTCTGGTAACATTCAAATTCAATCTTCCTTGTTTCTTAAAAATGTTCTTTATGTTTCTCAACTTTCTACTAATCTTATCTCCACTCAAAAACTTACAACTGATTTGAATTGTTCTATCACATTTTTTCCTTCTCATTGTGTTATTATCTCCTTCCAGAACATGCTATAAATGATAGCAAAAATCAGTTATTAATGACACGTCATCCTTCTACTGCAGAGTCTATGATTTGGCTACATCACAAGCATCTGGGGCATCCATCATTCAGTCTATTGAAGTCAATGTTTCCTTCTCTGTCTCTAAATCAGTTGGTTGAGACCTTCCATTGTGATGTTTGTGAATTTGCAAAACACCATCGAGTGTCATTTCCTTCTAGCACTATCAAAAGCATCGAACCTTTTTCTCTTATCCATTATGATATTTCGGGCCCTTCTAAAGTGCATAGTATTTCAGTTGCAAGGTGGTTTGTTTCTTTTATTGACGATTGAACTCGGGTAACATGGATATTCTTGATGAAAGACAAGTCTGAAGAACTAGAGATATTTATTCGATTTCATCACATGGTTGAGACTCAGTTTGGTAAGTGTAGTAAAAGACTAAGATCTGATAATGGTACTGAGTACGTCAACCAACGCCTGTCACAATTCATTTCAGATAGAGGTATGATTCATGAGCTCACATGTGTTGATACCCCTCAACAAAACGGGGTTGCTGAAAGAAAAAATCGTCACCTTCTTGAAATTGCTAGAGCACTACTTTTCCAGACATCTGTTCCTAGTTCTTATCGGGGAGAAGCCATGTTAGCTGCAGCCTTTTTGATCAACCGTTTACCTTCACAGGTCCTTAACAATACCCGTCCTATTCATTCCATGACTTCCTTCTTTCCTTCTGTTCCCATTTTGCAGAGCCTTTCACCAAGAGTGTTTGGATGTGTTGCCTTTGTCCATGTTCATAAACAACATCGCAGTAAGTTGGATCCTAGGGCTCTTAAGTGTGTCTTCCTTGGTTATGCCCCTGATAAAAAAAGGTACAAGTGTTATCATCCACCAAGTCAAAAAAAATTTGTTTCTATGGATGTCACCTTTCAACAATCTGAGTCTTATTTCCTGGATCTTCATCTTCATGGGGAGAACAGTTCTTCAAAAGACTCACCCCTTCCTTCTTTGAGTCTGGATCATCCTTGTCTACTCCTACACCTCTTCCTAGTGTGTCAGAACCTTCAAATACACCTGAGATACGAAAGATTTTGACACCTGAATTGGTA